AAGCATCTAGCCACTGGAAGTGGTTATAAATGCCTACAATGGCCAGCTGTAACTGTGTTTTTGGGGCTGTGCCGTTGCTGCACAGGTGCCGCTGGTGGGACAACTCTGCTCTGAAGAGGTTAGTGTCTCCTCCTCATGCTGATTGCATGCAGCTCAGTACATCTGGTGGGGGCAACAGAAATGAATTAGCATGGGCTGGTGTTTTCTCAGATTCTGGTTAAAATCAAACTGAAAGCCAGGCAAGTCTGCTGAATGGCATTGGACCGTGGGATTGTAATACCTTGTTTCATTAAATCGCTCTGGGTCAGAAAAATGTCTGTGCATTGTATCAGTCTCACTGAAGCAACCACACGAAAAAATATCAGTGCATATTCAGCAATGTATTCAGCACTGTATTCAGTGATACCGTTAGGCACAAAGCAACAGTCTAAGTCATTTTCTGTGTATTTATGCCCTGAGCTGTCTGCACATTTAGATGTAACTTAGCCTGTTTCATTGAACAGTCTTTAGAGCTGCAGCACTCCCCCATCCCTGCAGGAGCCGTGGCTGTGGTAGGGATGTGCTGCCAGGGACGCCAGGCGCAGTGGAAACTCCTCTGGCGTGGCTGAATGAATTAAGGTTTCCTATCATGTGGTCTGCCCGCAGCGAGTTAAGGGCTTTTACTGCCCTAAACCCAAAATTGACTCTTTAAGCTTGGCAAATTGATGTTACCTGTAGTATCTTTACAGCTGAAGCAGACAGTAAATGTTTCTAGAATTTATTGCACCAAAAGAAGAATTTTTTTTTTTAATTATAAAATTATACAGTGAAAGCTCGCACACCAGGAGTTCACCTGACATAGGTCTCCTTTTCCCCGCACTGGGATTTCTCTGTGGTTTGGTTCTAGCCTGGTAGCCAAGGGTGCAGTTCAGCTGTTTTGCCTACTGCATCCCAACTTCCCAAATGCACCATTTCTGTGGGTTTTTCACTAGTAAAACTGAGATTGTGTGTTTGCTTCACAGCTTGTCTATAGAATCCTCAATTTCTCTTCCAGGTTAGAGAAACCTTGTTGTGGCACAGCTTGGCTCAGACAGTTACCACTGGTGCAGGTTGCAAACAAAACACCCCCCACATTGCTTTACACATCCCTTTGTTTAAGAGTTTCTTTGAAGTATGGAGCATTTTACCTGTGTTTATCCTTGTTCTGTCAACTTGTGGGATTCTAGTAAATCCTTTAATACAAGTATTTCCCCGCTGTGAGCAGCCGTGCACACAAAAGGCTGGAGGCACAGCAACTCGGTGATCAGTGCCTGTCCTATCTGTGCCATTCCTCTCTGCTAGCACAGCTCAGTGCCAGATGTCACCTGTAGCAGGTGATACTTGCTGTCCTGGAAGACCATCAACTGTAAGAAGCACTTAAGCTGTTGTATTCCTTTTCTTGCCAGCGAAGTAGTCTTTCCATTAATAGTAACATCTTAAACAAGGAGTAATGAAACCCTATTTCTGCTGCAATTCTCTGTAGCTGGCTGACACCAAAAAAAAAAGACATTACTTGGAAAGTGAGATCCCTGAACGACTGTGTACTTCTCCCTAGCACCTGACGGAGAACACTAATGCACAGAAGCAAGGAAATAAAATTAAAACTGAACAAAAAAATTGAGGGCACCAGAATCTCACCCTGCCCACGTGACAAAGCAGAATGGGGCTGGTTCCTGGATGCGCCATGCACCGTGTTGATTGCACTGGTGCAAAGTGACATTAGGATAGGTGTAAACCACGGGAGACAACTGCAGGACATTCTGCACCTCCACTTTCTGTGCAGGTTACTTGTAGCAACACCCAGGAGCACAGTGCAGTAGTGCAAGGACAGCAGAGTCCATCAGCTCACAGCAGCAAGTGGAAGCTTACACAACATTTACCAGTGGTTGCCGGCTGCAGGAGGGCTGCCTGGTGTTCCTGGCCCTTCTCCGTGGTACCTGCTGACCTCTGAGTTCTAAACATGCCCTGGCCAGGTGGTCTCACTGTGACACTGAGCTGGCAGCTGGGGGCCAGCTCTCTCTGCTCTCCTGCCCTGCACAGCCGGCTCTGGCACTGCCAACAGGACAGAAATGCCCATGGGGCTGGCGGCTGGGAGCCCCCGTGGCTGCTGGGACCTGGAGGAATGCCTGGCCAGTGCGTCTGCCTGCGTGGAGTCATCGAGTCCTGCTGTGAGATAACACCAGTCCTGGGTTCGAGATGCCTGAATGAACAATTCACTCAGTTTTTCTTGGACCTGGCAGCCAGGTTCATGCCCCGTCTCCCTGTGAAGAGCACAGGGTACCCCAGAGTCAAAGCCAGTGAGCGGACTCAGACCAGAAGAGCAAAGCAGGATCCTCCACCTCCAGTGGCTTGTTCATGTAAGGCCAAAGTAAGCTTCCACGGATGGGACCTTATATACATACCAGCCATGCCAGGTGATTGGGCCCAGTCAGCATGGGTTTATGAAAGGCAGGTCCCGTTTGACTGACCTGATCTCCTTCTGTGACGAGGTGACCCACTTCGTGGATGAGGGAAAGGCTGTGGGTGTTGTCTATCTGGACTTTAGTAAAGCCTTTGACACCGTTTCCCACAGCATTCTCCTGGAGAAACTGGCTGCTCGTGGCTGAGAGGGGCGCACTCTTTGCTGGGTGAAATCTGGCTGATGGCCGGGCCCAAAGAGTTGTGGGGAACGGAGTTAAATCCGGCTGGTGGCCGGTCACACGTGGTGTTCCCAGGGCGCAGTACTGGGGCCAGTTCTGTTCAGTATCTTTATCAGTGATCTGGACGAGGGCATCGAGTGCACCCTCGGTAAGTTTGCAGATGACACCAAACCGGGTGGGAGTGTTGATCTGCTCGGGGGCAGACAGGCTCTACAGAGGGATCTGGACAGGCTGGAGCGATGGGCCAAGGCCAATTGTATGAGGCTCAACAAGGCTTAGGGCCGGGTCCTGCTCTTGGGTCACAACAACCCCACACAACGCTACGGGCTTGGGGCAGAGTGGCTGGAAAACTGCCCAGAGGAAAAGGACCTGGGGGTGTTGGTCGGCAGCCGGCTGAATACGAGCCAGCAGTGAGCCCAGGTGGCCAAGGCGGCCAACAGCACCCTGGCTTGTGTCAGGAATAGTGTGGCCAGCAGGACTAGGGCAGGGATCGTCCCCTCTACTCGGCACTGGTGGGGCTGCACCTTGAATTCTCTGCTCAGTTTTGGGCCCCTCACTACAAGGCAGACATTGAGGTGCTGGAGCACGTCCAGAGAAGAGCAACTGGTGAAACTGGTGCAGGGTCTGGAGCACAGGTCTGATGGGGAGCGGCTGAGGGAACTGGGGGGGTTATTCTGGAGAAGAGGAGGCTGAGGGGAGACTGACCTTACTGTTCTCTGCAACTCCCTGAAAGGAGGTTGTAGTGAGGTGGGTGTTGGTCTCTTCTCTGAATTATCAATCTATCCAACAGAGGAAATGGCCTCAAGTTGCACCAGGGGAGTTTTAGGTTGGGTATTAGGAAAAATTTCTTCACCAAATGTGTTGTTAAGCCTTGGAACAGGCTTCCCAGGGAGGTGGTTGAGTCACCATCCCTGGGGGTACTTAAAAGATGTGTAGACATGGTGTTTACCGACATGGCTTAGTGTTGGACTTGGCAGTGTTGGGTTTATGGTTGGACTTGATGATCTTCAAGGTCTTCCAGCCTAAACGATTCTCTGGTTCTGTGCTGTTCGCTTGGTCTGTGCTTTGGTTAGCAGTGAAGTAGTTAACCGAGCCCTCAGCTCACTGGCCCCTCTCTGGAGTATCTCCTGACTCAGAGTTTGCTGCTGTCACCTTACAGCCCAGTGATCTTCTCCAGACCCCTAGAAAGTTGGACCCAGCTCAGTTTGCTGCTTCTGAGCTGTCAGCAGGACAGTGTCTTTGTGCCAAGGGAATGAGTCCTCGCTCACAGTAACTGCTCATAAAAGCCGTGTTCGAAAAACCTTAAAAATCTCTGTAGATACCCACAATTATGCCTTCTGAGGCTGCTTGCCATCCTGGTATCAATCTTTTATTGCAGTCTGTTTCCTTGGCCAAGATTTTCTCCTGAACTATAAAGCCCCTCACTTCAAAGGCGGGTTTTTTTGGTTTTTTTGTTTGTTTTTTTTTCAAATTCAGAGCCTCTATGTTGAATACACAGTGTGCTTTCCAGGTCAGAGAAACAAGACATCCTAAAGCTCACTGCATTTTTCCAGCTCTAGGAGGGTTTTATTTTCTTTTTAGCAGAAGTTTAAATTTAAAGGAAATATTGGTCTGCTGAGCTGGACCAGCTCATCTCTAGCCTTTAGAAGGACTTAGGAAAGATGAATGACCAAATTCAGGGGATTTATGGCTAAATACACTGGAAACCTGGTTTTGTCATGGAAAGCATGAGAAGATAAGAAGGAATGGACCATGTGCTGGCACTTCCCTTTACCTCTAGCAATACAGCAAGAGGGGCAGTTCAGCTGATCCAGCTGAGGTGAGCTGTTACTCAGGGCCAGGAGCAATAGTCCTTGCCATTGAGGATGGAGCTGGTACCTTCCACTGCAGTTCACTGGTGATTTAGGGACAGAGGAAATTTGACTTCTGCCTTGAGAAAGGGGATTTCCAGCACAGCACTGGCTCTGTGACTATCAGGCAGGTCTTGGCTGATCCTTCCCCTAGGAATGCTTTCAGTGCATTTTATGTGATCGCTGGCAGGTCACCACTCGCAGAAGGAAGAGGTGTAGGTGCCAGTTATTTTCAGGAAGGAAGGTATGGCTGAAAGCATGATCCTTCTGGAGTTCAGCCCATCCAGGCTAAGCCACAGTGTCCCACAGCTCAAGTGCTGAACTAAGGATCAGTGCATTTGGTTTTTATTCTGGCATGGAGAGCAGCAGCCTCTATTCAGGGGGCTGTGAATACTCCAGGTTTTTCCATGTGACACTGTATAAAGATGGAGGCTGCTCTTGTTTTGATTCTCGCCTGATTTAATTATATTTGCTTTTTCTCTTTTTATTTCAGTTGTGATTCCAAAGAGCCCTTTACCTGCCTCCGAAGTAAACTCGGAGAAACCTAGCATGCACAGTAGCACAAAGACTGTTTTGGGGCATCAACAAGGGCAAAGGCGTCGCAAAACAGGGAAGAAGCGTGGTCGAACGACCAAAGCGCTAATCCATCACCCCATGCCTACACCCTCCAAGTCAGTGGAGCCTTTGAAATTCCCCAGAAAGAGAGGCCCCAAGCCTGGCAGTAAGGTAAAAGCTGATGCTGATGCAGGCGGGTGAAAAGCAGGTGCTGCAAGTTCTGCCATGGGATGGTGCATGCGTGTGTTTGTGCACGTTTGTCTCAGCCTCTGGCTGTTATGACTGCAGCAAGTAGGAGACCAAAGGGGTATGTGGGCTGGGGATATCCCTCAGAGTCCAGCCCCAGAGCTGTAGAGAATGTCTGTGTCCTAAAGATCATTTCCATCAAGAAACTGTCTTTGGAGCTGCAAAGAGCTTCATTAGCTGTGAAGTAGCATGGCAGATGCTGTGATCATGACAGGATGGCCAAACGGTGGAGTAAGCAATTCCGTCCATCGTGTGTAGCTAGTCTTAAGTCAAGCAGAGGTGGCAGATCTCAGGCTTGTTATTTTTTCAGGATTGTGGTTTATAAAACACACACATATTGATTACTAGGTTCTTGAGACTCCCCGTCATCATCATCAGAAGTGTGTCATGTTCCACAGTGCCTTGTCTGTTGGATGCAGAGGAAAGAGTGTAGTGATCATGGGTGGTAAAGGAGAGCAGGGATAAAAGGAGAAATATCTCCTCTTTTTCTGCAGAGGAAACCTAGGACATTGCTGAACCCAGCACCCACCTCTCCAACAACCAGTACCCCAGAACCAGACACAAGCACTGTTCCCCAGGACGCTGCTACAATCCCCAGCTCTGCCATGCAGGCTCCCACAGGTAAGGGTCTCAAACCACATTCTCGACAAGATTGCAGTTAGGAGCTGCATCAGTCAGAAAGTGACACACCAAGTACTTGCATTTCTTCTTAAACCTTTAAACCAGCAAACATTACAATTCCAGAAAGGCTGGACTAATAGAGAGTGTGTCGGAAGGAAAAGAGAGGCACAGGAGTTCAGATCAGCTATTCGTTTATCTCTTTGTCTATTTTGGAAATGATGAAGTCATAGCAAGATTGCAAGTCCATCTGTTCGGTGCAAGGACCCCTTTCCCTGAGTTACCACGTGCATGCTAGTGACTCCACAGCTCTTGAAGGGCACTTCTCGTGGCCTGTTGTGCCCAGAGGCAGTAGGGTGTGCGGCACCTCTCATGAGTCCAGGGCCTGAGCTCTTCCAAAATGTGCCAGGCACAGCTGCTGAGGCTGCAGCGAGATGCAGAACAACTGCTGAACAGCAGTGGCGGTGATCTGTTCAGCTTCAGCCAGGATATCAAGGCAAACAGGGACAAGAGGGAGCAGGGGAGGAGTAGGAGTGGCAGTGCAGAGTATATGCTCTGCTACAGCTGTGAGATGTAGCTGAAGGTTGTTCTGGGCAGGAAAGTCTAACACAAAGCTGCTTTTTATATGTTTGGTCAAGCACTGGATATGGCTGAGCCCTCTGTTTCCCCAGAATGTAATTGGCCCATTTTCAGAAGAACCTGAAGAACCCAGTTTCCCTGAAAAGTGGGGATTGTGTTCCTTCATCTCCTTTGAAGATCGCAGCCACCTTATCTGGCTGGCATGAGAACCACTTTGCAGCCTTCCTTTTGGGAGCCCCAGTGCTGGGGAAAGTGTAGGAGAAACAGCAGCAGCTTGGAAGGTGAGTGTGAGGCAGGAAGGTTTTGGAGGTGATTCCCCTCTATAAGTGGCTCTACTGTTGGGATGCAGACAGGCAGTCATGGTGGATTCCCCTTTGTGAGTGATTTGACAGTCTTTAAACTTCAGCATCTCTCAAGCTGGATTTTAGGCATCTATTTCTTTCTTTCTTGAGTGGGTTAATGGCAAACACATTTCTCATCTTGGCAGTTTGCATTTACTTGAACAAGAACGGCAGCACTGGGCCCCACCTAGACAAGAAGAAAGTTCAGCAGCTGCCGGACCATTTTGGACCAGCTCGAGCTTCTGTTGTCCTGCAGCAAGCAGTACAGGCCTGCATTGATTGCGCTTATCATCAGAAAACAGTCTTCTCCTTCTTAAAACAAGGCCACGGGGGAGAGGTCATCTCAGGTGAGAACTGGCCCGCAGCACTTTGCCTTCAGAGATGTCATTGCAAGAATTCGCTTGTTGGAAGATGTCTCTCCTGAAGCTTGGTGCAGTCATGGGCCAGGGGCAGACAGAAGATTTCTGTCTTCTCTTTCTTGCCAAACATCTGTGTCAGCGGAGCAGCAGGTAGCAGCTGACTCCAGCAGAGCAGTGAGCGTGGCCTCCAGGCACAGCTGCTGGAGGAGGCAGCATGTGGCCCTGGTGCCCGCCTGGGCAGCCTCACCCTTCACCCATCGTCCCCCAGCGCTGCCCGAGCCCCCAGGAGGAGGCAGAACGGGTGGGATTTCCTGAGCTCCTGATGGAAAGACAAGAAATATCCCGGTTTTTAATTTTGCTTTTAAGCCCATGTTTACCCGGCTGCTGGGCGTGCAGGCCCCTCCTTGAATGCCTTTGCATTCCCTCGAACGCAGGTTCTCAGGCGCTGCAGCCCCGTGCCTGATGCTGGGTGCAGCAGACTGGTTGTAGCCTGTCCCAGGGAAGCGAGCTCGCCAGCGCTCAGCCAGCGGAAGGCAGTGGCTTTTGTTTGCTCTAGTCTAAACCAGCGATGCTGAGATACAGAAGCTGGCTGTGCAGCCCTGGGCGTAGTCTCCTGCCTTTGCTGGGGGTTTACGTGTTGGGCTCTGTTTGTTTCTGTCTCCAGCTGTGTTTGATCGGGAACAGCACACTCTGAACCTGCCAGCAGTAAACAGTATCACCTACGTCCTCCGCTTCCTGGAGAAGCTCTGCCACAATCTTCGCAGTGACAACCTCTTTGGGAACCAGCCTTTCACTCAGAACAGCCACATGCAGCGCTCACACGAGTACGACCACGACAGGTATCTACCAGGTAGGAGCTGGGGCGGGGGCGGCGTTGTAGGGACCCCAGGTGCTCTGTGTCTTAACCCAGGTTTTATCTTTATCTCTGGAGGCAGGCGTGTGTTTCAGAGCCCTCTCTGCAGGGTTCATTGCATCACACCTAGTCTCATGCACATGCCCACAGGGCTCTTTTTGTGCAGAATTCAAGTTGCCGTATTTTCTGCCTGTTGGTCTGATTTCCATCTCTGCCTGTAGGTTTCTGCTCATCCGTGCTGTCTCCTTGTCTTTCCTCCTCTCCTCATCCCCCAGTCCTTCCCGCTTCCTGTAATCTGATTATAGTGACTTCATCCAGTTAGGAATTAAGGTGAAAGACTGCATAAGAAGTAGAAGAGTGATAACATGCAGCGGGTAAACTGTAATTAGAAATGGAATTAAAACCTAGCAGAGCGGTTTCCACACTGGCTGTGAATCTGCTGCCAGCAGAGAGCACATCCAGCCCTCAGTGAAAGCATCGCCCTTTCAGGGATGATGCACACTGCAGCGATCTGAGGCATAGGTGGCTTTGTTTTTCTTGGCATGGCTAACGCTCCACTGTGTTGAAGCAACACACCCCTGGCAAGATAGTTCATGCCACAATGCAAATCGTCAGGCTGCAAAATTGCTCTTGAGCAAAAGCAGTGGAAAACAAGAAGACTGATACTTTTCCTCGCAGTGCTGTGTGGTGGCAGCAGTCGCTGGGGTGATAGCTGCCTCCCTGGGCCGGCTGCAGGGCTCTGGGGGAACTGCTGCTGTGGGAATGTCAGTCGTGGAGAGGATAAATGCTATTGGCACCCTCTTTAGGTAGTTGATGAGTGTCTTGTGCTGATCTGCTCTCCTGTCTTGCTTCCTCCACTACCCTCCTGCCCCGAGTCAGCTGTTGTACTGTTTGAGGTCTTTCCACAGTGAATCTTTTGGATAATTATGGCTCTGATGAGAAAAGCAGGAATGTCTAATTTAAAAGGATAAGCACCTAGGAAGAACTGTTTAAGGAAAAAGTTGCTAAGTGTGAAGCTCAGGGGCAACAGCCTAATGCCAGAGTGCTTTATTGCTTCTTGCCAAGCATCAGTACTCAGGAAGGGATTAGCGTGAGGATCTTGGAGTGACCGTCCTCTGCTTCCTCCATGGCTGATCAGCTGCCTCAGGCTGGGGCTGTGCAGAGCCATGCTGGAGCCAGGAGCAGAGAGCTGTGCTGTGAGAAGAGAAGCTGTAGGAAGTGGGTTGACTCCTGTGGCAAGTACAGGAGCAGCATGTCTAGTTACTAGGACTAGACGTTACCCCTCTAGGGAACCCTCAAATAGGAGAAATCCCCATGTTTCGGTGTGGAAGTACTCAGTTGTCATGAGAGAGCAAAACTGGAATGGGAAGAAGAGGACCCAGGGTCTGGGCATGGTAGCAGGCTTGGATGGAGAGGGTCCTGTAGCTCACACACATGGTTTCTAGCCACCATGAGTTGTCAATGGTGTCTGTGCGAAGAGCTGGGCTGCCTGGCAGGGTGGAAAAGTGTGAAGAACAAAGTCAGAATTCAGGGAAATTCAGGCAGAGCACCAGATAATGACATGATGCTGAGACCTGCTCATCCTACAGTCTTCTTTAGAGTGTTTGCAGGGATTAAAAAAAAGATTAACCACAGTCCAGAGAAGTGATAACACCTACTCCTGTAGTTCATACTGATGTCTCGAGGATTGTTGGGCATCTGGTCATGTAACACCTTTCTGAAGCATCTGAAAGAAGATGATAAACGTTGTTATCTACACATTATAGTGGCTTCTGGTGAGGGCAGAGAAACAGTACCGGCGATTTTGAGAGGTTAGGGCTGGTCATGGAGGAATGAGGATACAGTTGTACATCAGCTTAAATCATGCCAAGTGTCAAGGCTGCTGTGGCTCCGCCTTCAGCTCTGTGTTCTGCCTTGTTTCCTCTACAGTACAGGTGGTCGTGTGCCTGAATGGGGCTGGTTCTTGCAGAAAACAATCACTGGTTAGGACTGGGAGCTGGTCGCCATTCCCAGAGCAAACTCGTTTTACAGGAGCACCGCTGTGGATGCCGTGGAGAATTCCTGTCTGTGCTTGGGACAGAAGAAGGAAGGCCTGCAGCAGCACTTAGGTCAGCTACATCCTGGCATTCTGTCTTGCTAAGTAAGCTGTAATCATGGAAATAAGGGGAAATAGGTCAAGTTGTACATCAGGAAACAGTAGATCTGCAAGAAAACAAGAAGTTGGTTGCTGTTAATAGGAACAGGGATGGGCTGTGGAATGTTGAGAACAGGTAGATCTGATCTGGAGCCATCTGAAAATGTAGAACTGGAGGGACCTTCTGGACCATCGAGCCTTGGGTCCTGTTACTACAGGGCACCACAACATACGGTGTTGCTTTAATTAACTCTGGAGTTGGGAATTTTGCTTTCTACTGGAGGCTGCTCCGAGATTTTTTTTCTGAATTTTTAGAAACTGTGGTATAGCTTCTAGCCCAAATTTATTCTTGGGCACCTTGGTATCTGCGTCTCCGTATGTTAACATTGTCTTTAGCTTGACTTAGTTCTCCTCCTTCTGGAATTAGATAACAGTCGTATCCTTTAGAGGAGCTCGCCTTCTGGTAAGAAGGGCTCTCTGCATTCCTTATCTAGTGTTGATTTGAATTAAACTTCAGGAGGTGACCAGGTGCCACCCAGCACTCTGGGGAAGAGCTCACGGGGATCCAGTGCCACAGCACCGGCATCACCATGTTCGCAAGAAATAGTTCCGGAAGCTGCTTTTGGTCGCTGTATCCTTGTAGCAGGTGATGATCAACCTGTCCTGGTCACATACCTGTTCTCATCCATTATTGTCAACTCCAGGTTCCCAGCTCATGGGACAATGTTTCGAGTGCACATCTGCGTGTTGCTACTCGATTTACCTCCTTTCTGGTACTCCGTTCTATATATGGTTTTTCTGCCTAATTTCAAATGAGACCTGGCCTGATGTGGGAAGACATCAGCAGATTTTACCAGTGAATCTCTAAAATCTGTGTCAGAGTTGTTAATAAAAGTATTAAATTAGACTGGGCTTAGGAATGAACCTCAGGAAAATTCATTAGCAATTGCTCTTCAGCCTCATGCTCTTGCTCAGTCTTCTGCTGACGGCTCTTCCCCTTGAATCAGGTGTTTGTGCATATAACAGGGCTGCGGGTAATCCTCATGTTCTCTGTCTCAGCTGGTGGTTTTCCATATCAAATGCCTTACTGGATTCCAGGTAACTGAGATGGACCACTCTTCCTTTGTGTGACAGATCAGTTATTTTCCCATGATAAGGAGGCTATTGGGTTAGTCTCCTCTGATAAATGCCTACCACAGTATGTGCCCCGTGTAATTGCAGTGTTTCCCCTGCCCTTTCCTTCAGCACCTCTCACAAGCCTTACAGTACTGCTGAGGTCAGATGTGAGCATTTTGTGGCCAAAATAATTTTTTCACCTTCTTTTTTAAATGCTGGCACCGTGTTTCCAGTCACTCTGAGCAGCACGTCACTGATTTCTGTTAGAATTTACAGCAGCAGACCTGGCATTTCATGCGCGCCTTCTTTTTTAAGTTATGGTTTGGCTTCCTCTGCACCCTCACACCCCCAGTTCGAGTACATTCCATTATTTGACTTCCACTTCTTAGTCAATGGTGTGTATTTTTGTTCCTGTCCCGTTTCTTTTACACTTTGAGCCGCCCCTGGTGTTCAGTGTGGCCGTGGCTGGAAGCGAAGGGTGGGATTTGTTTTATTGAATGGGGTGGATGTCACCGCGGCATCGACACCTGAGCTCTGCAGCCGGGGGGGAGGTACCCGTGCAGGCAGAGCCAGTTACAGCACCCCAAAGTAGGGCCCTTGGCTTGGACTTGGTCAGGTGAGCAGACTCTCACTGACCAGGAAGGCGCCTGCCCCGACTGCCGTGGGATGGCCAACAGCACACATCCAGGCACGGGCAGACGTGATTCTCTTCCTCCCCACCAGCCTCCCCGGTCAGGCGAGGTGAGCTCTCCCTCAAAGCTGTCCCATCATTTGCAGGAGAGGACAATCTTTTTTTCTTTTTTTCTCAATCTTTACCTTTCTGCACAGTCTCCTCTCACTGCATTCCCATGCACTTGTTACTTCTGTAGCTGAAGATGTGGTCCTGTCTTTTCCTTTGTTCTGTGGCAAAAGACAGATTGAGTTAAAAAGTTCATTTTGCCCCTGTACTCACCATCCTTTGAGGTGTACAACTCCATGCTGAGCAGGTCCTTTTCATCTCCAGTTAAATGATCTGTCTGTTCTCAGCATCCTTCTCAAAGTGAACATTTATCCACTTAGACTTGGAGTCCTTTCTTCCCGGATTGTTTCCTCACTGTTGATACACATTCATGGTGGGTATGGCATCTTTTGAACTGAAGGTATTTTCCTTTTTTCCACATTGTGACTGATGAGTGCAGCTCTATATATTACTCTATATATATACTTCGTTATTTTCTTAAAATTTGTCCTTTAAAATCGGAGACCCTAACTACAGACCTACTTTTGGTTTATCCTTCCATTAATTTACACTGGTCTAACTTCCCATTCCCCGGGTTATCTTCTACAACCTGACCTTCTGTGTTTGCCTTACTTTTTAAATCAACCGATTTAATAAATAGCCCAAATCAAAACCTGATAAACCCTTTAAAAAGCATCACCCTTTGTTGTGGTTCTTGACTGTTTGGTGGAGAAGATCGTGCAGTTTTACATTCAGAGATATCCAGAGACATTACTAAGAGCATTTGTTTCCCATCTCTGGGCAGTGAATGTTTCCTACAGGGACTTGTCCTGAGGACAGTGTTTGCCTTTCTAATAACGTTATAGTGATTTTTGATCATACTCGTATGGAGTCACAGGGCCTCAGTATAAGCAGCTTATCTTTTGTTTCCCCAGAGGATTTTGATAGAACAGATACTTTTCTCTACCTTGGTATTTCTCTTTAATCCACCAAATTGTGACCGTCTGATGCTTCCCACCCATCTGTACCTTCATTTCTTTGTTTGGCGTGATGCATCTCCCTTGGTGTCCGGTCCCAGTCGCTCCCCGTCGTATCTCTGTCACCCCTCCAGCACCCCTTCCTGCCCTGCCCTGCAGTTGGGGCTGCTCCGTGCTGTTGTCCAGCTCCTGGCATTTGTCTGCGAGCATCTCACCGCTCTCCCCCCACACCCTGATGGCTGCAGGCTCAGGCGTGTCGCCGTGCTCGGGGCAGCTGGAAGGGGCCAGCTGGGAACACTGGTGGCCTGTGCAGACAGGTGGGTGACCTCTTCGTGGTGACCATGCCTAGTCCAGACGAGACACGGTCCAGCACCTGCTGTGTCTCTTGCCTGGCCCTGCCCGTCCATGTTAGCATTTCCATCCTCTGTGTTCATCCACCCACTGACACCGCGTGCGCAGCCTTCGGCAGAGACGTCTCGCAGCCCAGCCTGACGTCTCGTCTGCCATGGGGAAGCGTTTGGAGAGGAGCAGCAGTGACAGCTGGGGCGCTTGAGGGATCCATTTGGGGAAAGATTGAAAATTTGAGTAAAGTTTAATCAAGCACTGTGTATGGCACAGAGTGTTTGCAGATCCTCCAAGGGTTGTTTGCAAATCGGCCAAGGGTTACGTGTGTCCGAAAGGTGAAGAGGGGAGGAGCAGGAATTGTGTGGGATGAGCCAAGGGGTAGAACAAGGAGAAATGGAATTAAGTCAATCAGAGGTGATACTTGGGGTGAAATATGGCAAAATGTGGCTAAGATACTTAGGTTTCTCGCCACTCTTTTTCTCTGATAAAACTTGCGAAGCAAAATATAAAATGTTAAGCACTGACAGATGTGCTGGATTGCAGTTTTAACAGGCTGTTTCCAGGCTGGCAATGCATGCGAGTCTCAAGTGACTCTGGCAAGACTTGAACTTCCCAGAAAGTCTCCACTCCTAAATAGGGCTTGTTCTCTTTTCCTAGACAGAAGCAGTTCGTTAGACGGCACTCTGCAGGGACCAGGCCGGGGTACAAAGCGATATTCCCAAGATTCCCCTCCATACAGTGCTCCTCTCTCCCCCAAGTTACCAAAGAATGATCGTCACCCTTTGGAAGGTGAGCACAGCGTCTCTTCCCAAAGCTGGCTGTTTATAGTGACTTGTAACGGATACAGCAGGTTCAGATTTGCTGTGCCAAATCGAGCCGTGGGTTTAGGAAGTCTGCTTTGCTTTGTCTCTGGCATGGGTTGGTGCTTGCTGTTCCAGAGAGAAGTGAAGAAACCACTCTGTGCCAAGGCAGGTTCCCCAAGCACTTGTGTAAGGCATGTGGAACGCAGGGAGAATTCCTTCTAACCCCGATAGCCATCATCTAATACTATATAATGTGGGATTTAATTACCCATATTTTAGCTTCCATTGCTATGCGTGGTATTAACGGCCATAAAACTGCCCAGTTGCTTCAGTCAATCTTCCCCCAAATTTTTCCATGATTGTTTGCTGCAGTGTGTTCTACAGATGCTATGTGCAGCTGTACGGCCAGGAACCTGCTGCCCTTTCCCAGGATCCCATCTTGTTCCTCACAGTCCTTCCTAAATAGCAGGGAGGGTCTCACTAGCATGTGCTCCACCAGCTAAACCAGATCAAATCCCATTCTGCAGCCCTGCTGCTTCCTGCAGTGCCCCTGGGGTAATGCTGAGGCAGATGTGCTGCGCCACGTGCTCAGAAGCAATTGCAGAAATGTCCACTTTGGTACGTGCCCCATAGCTGTCCCTTGGCTGTGCAGGTGGGAGATTTCCAGGGTGTCCAGGTAGCTGGAGGACTGCCTGAGCTGGAGTCTTCAATAAATACACTTCCACCTTCTCTTTTGTTTTTAACTGCAAACATTCCATAATGCAGACTGGAGATTTAACCTTGCTGAAGCCTTTTAATTAGTTGATGGTGAAATCTGCCAAGGTGATAGTCTCATATGTCCATGACAAATTTCTGGAGACTCTTGGCTGGGCTCACTGTTCAGCAGCTTTGTGTTCTGTCGCTGTCCCTTTAGAATCACCATTTCTCTGGTTCTTGCCGAGTTTGCTGAGCTTGGGTTGTTGATCCCAGAGCTGAGGGTGCATGGCCTCCCACACACTGTGGTGTCACTTCAGTCTGTGTCCATCACTGTGCCCTGTGCTTTTCAGGATTACTGACCCCGTATCTAAGCAGAGCTGAGCTGAACTTGCACCCTATGATGGGCAGTTTTGAGTGGCCTTGATATCTACGCTGATTGAAATTGTGGCTTTGTCACACAGCTGAAGCGAAGAACAGGGTGAGGTGTGGGACTGTCTCATCTACTCCAGCATACTGACAAGTCAGAAATTGTTCCCTAAGGCCCAGTCTGTTTCTTACCTCTAGATACACATCCTTGCTGGTCTCCTTGATAGTCTCCTCTAACACATCAACCACTGTACTTGGGACACCATTAGCAAAGCCTGTCAGCTCTTCCTCTACCAGCAGGCGGAACATTAAGTGTTCAGTGTGTTCCTGAAATGCAGTGGTGTGCTCTAAATATTGAGATGGTGAATATTGTACACTCTCTGTATTATCAGTGAAGAGATAAGGTTTCTGCAATGGGTAATTCCAAGGAGGAACCTATGTTAGATTGTGTGCAAGATTGATTCTTAGTCTGCTTCAAAGTCTGTTCTGTTATCTCTTGGCCTTTGAATGGGTTGTGCCATCTGGATGCCCAGAATACTCCAGCCTCTTCTGCAAAAGTAGAGACAAGTGGGCAGAACATGTGCTTTCATGTGACAGTGATGATCCTGTTGGTGTGTGAACTTCCTACAGTGACTTGGTCTTGCTCTGTTCTTGGTCCAAGCAGGGGGCGTAGGGCAGGGGCAAATGAGGTGCAGTTCCAAATTCCATCTAGAAATTAATTTTTACCCCACAGCTAAAAGCCTATTCATCCTCCCCCACCATGAAATATAAGCACAGGCAGGAATATTTGCATTTCGGAGGATATATTTTAAGAATATGAGCCTGAAATACTCAGATATTGAATATTTCTCGAGCAAGGAGACATCTTCTCATGGTGATGAACTCTCCCAGCAGAGCGCATTCTAGCTTCAGCAGTGTGATAGACAACAATAGTACCTGAACAGTTTCCAGTTTGCCAAATTGAAGGCAGTGAGTAGCAGTGGGAAGTCTCCATTCATCATGCCTTTGGCAAGAAGTCAGAAGGATGAGGAGGGGATCTCGCGTCTTACATTGTTTTTCCTCTTGTATCCAGTGGCATTTATGTAGCTTTTTGCTAAAAAGCTGCAGTTCCAGCACAGTGGGGACCTGCTTTTCCAAGACTATCATTTTTTGGAAACAGTGGGTGTTTAGTAGTTGTGCAAATCAGATTGATGCTTGTGGCCAAACTCCATGTTTTAGCAGTAAAACAACAGTCTTGAATCTACAGCACTATTTGTTTAATTAAACTTTAATTATCTGCTCCCTGCCTCTCTGCCACTAATGGTGGCATGTTTTCCTACAACGCTCTAAACGCAAGCCTTTATTTAAAACGAGCAGTTTGTATAAGAAAATCTGCCTAAGAATTAACCATCTCCTCCTCACTCCAGAGCTAGTTATCGAGGTGAAAGCTTTCAGGATAGTGTGTATGCCTGGACACACTCTGCTCTGCCACTTGCAGAAGCATGTTATCTTCTGCTACAGATGATTCACAGGGCTAGTAATCATTCCCCTCTTGCCTTGCTTCCCTCTCCTCTTTATGGAGGCATCATTCATCTGAACAGTTCCCTGTGTGTTTGTATTTTTAAGAAAATCCTAAATCTCTCTTGCATTGACCCTCCCAAGAAGGCTCCAGCTCTGCTGCAATAATTACAGCACAACCAAGCGCTCGCCAGTCCAGAGATAGGTGACCTGAGGATGAACGTGCAGCTTTAGTCCTACCTCTTGGGCAAAACAAAGTAGTGCTCCCCAGTTGCATGGCCCCATCCTCTTCTTCAGATGTATGATCATAAGCACATGTGAGAACATGATCAGATATTTGGAGAACGCGTCACGGTGCATTCACATCAGAATAACGACGGCGTGTTAATTGTGGAGTTAAATACTTTCTGAGGGTGAGTTTTGGATGCTTAGCATTGCACCAATATGAACCTGTGCATGTGGTCTCCCAGCCTCCTAAGCTGTAGTCTTCACTAGCTGAGCCTAGAAATTCCTTCTGCTGACACACATCCCTTCTGTGAGAGCTTTGGGGGCTTCCCAAGCAGTTAGATGCACACATTTGCCTGACCCAGACCAGCTGGGGCAAGTGTCCCAGGGCTTGCTGGCCAGGTGAAGCGGTGTGTCACCTTGCAGAGTGCTGGGTCTCCTTGGAGGATGGGGATGTGCAGCACAGACCTGTGCCCACAGCCACTGCCCCGTTACAGAGCATCCCCACCAGCGCAGAGGGCTGCGCCCACTCACCCCTCTCGTGCCTCTGCACTCTCCTGTGAGCCAGACATCGGCCTTTTGCACAGAAATTTAATGGGAAGTGGTTTGGGTTTTAAGAAAAACTGTCCTGTTCGGGAGGAGACCAAACGTAGCTGCTATGAAGAAGCTCCTCCAGAGTGTTGCTGGTCTAAGTTGCTGTCTGGTCCTGGGCCAGGGAACCTCCATCCACCCCTGGGCCACAGCAGCCAGCTCAGTGCTGGGTTTGCATCCAGTCTTGTGCTGAAATGGGATGGTGGGAAGGGGTGTGGGGGTAAAGGAGGCGTCCAGAGTTATTCAGGAGTGGTCATGAGTCAGAAAGCTGCTTTGTACGTGTAGAGAGCAGGTGAAAACACATCTACCCACGCAGGAAGATCCTGACATGCGGGCCAGCACACAGCACAGGTCACCAAGGGAATAACAGTCTTCACAGCAGTACTGTTTGTACATGAGATTTTAAGGATGTGCTGCTGGTTTCTGAAAGCCTCCCAGAGACCTAAATGCAGAGAAAGGCAGAAGTGCCTCAAGTGTAGAGTAACAAAGCCCGTGAGATGGAGGATTGCATTTACGCAGATAATAACCTCTCATCTGCTTCACTGAACTGCCAGCCAGCGAGGCAAGAGGGAGGGTTCTGTTTTGTAGCCTCACAAGACGAAGCCAGGGAAGGTATGGGCTGGCTGCCTTCAGCTGAACTCGCCTCCAAGAGCTCTGCTCAGACAGCACTGAAACCAGAGGATCCCAGTTCACACAACAGTCCCATAGTTCACAGAAACCAGAGAAAATTATGTGCCTCCAAGAGAGGTTGCTCCATTTGGTGAGGCCCAACTGCTGCAACACTCAGGTACCACTTCAGGCTCTGGGAAGCTGCGTCTCCCTTCACTGGAGCACGGCAGCATCAGATTAGCAAGATAATTTGAGAAGGTCTCAACAGCTTTTGGGTCTCGTGGGCTGCAGTATGGTCTCTGCACCCTCACCACCATCCCAGTTCTGCACAACCTCCTTGTTCTGGCTTCTCACCTGCTGCTCCTGTGGTCTGGGAAGTCCCAGGGAAGAAACTTAGGGCCTGACTGGGGCAGTTGCTCAGGTTTCTTCATCCTTGTCACCTACCGTGGTGTTTGAGTGACAGCAGCTCAGGACTGTGAGCTGCTCTCAGAGTCTCTACAAGGGCTGGTAGAGAAGCTCCAGCTCCCAGCCAGATGCTGTGGCCTAGCCCAGAGTGCACAGGTAATACCCCTGTTGTAGGAGCTGCTTTCCTCTTTGGCTGTACAAACTTGCCAGGTATTTCATGATAAAGAACATAAGTATTTCAGAATGACTCATGAGGCATCAGGTCCACCTGGACTGAGACTAGATTGTGGATGTCATAGTAAAATCTACAAACTCAGGGTGCTGGGATGAAGCTGTTGCAGTGTAACAGCAAAGGGAGATCTTGCTAGCTCAGCCTTACTATATATCACCCTGGATGGCTTCCTCAGCCCCTCCATCCTAATGCTGCTGTTGACAGCTGAAAATTAAATGCGTTTTTGGAAGATAAGGTGAAGAAGCCAATCTCGCACTGGGACCCCTGCCCGGGGAGAGCCCTCTGCCTTGTCCCTCCTGCACATGTCCCAGCAAAGGGTGTTGGTCACCAGCTTGATTCAGCAATGAAAAAGGGCCCAGCAGGTCAGGAGGGGTGAGCAGCTGGTCGCCAGCACCTTGCTTTTGGGGCCAGGGGATCAGCATGTTGTGAGAGCATTGCCAGGCTGTGACGGTGCCCCTGGGCTGCTCAGAGGAGCCTCCTGCTCCCTCCTGCTCTGCATGTGTGCTGCTCGCCCGGCCACAGCATGAGGCTTTCTAACCAGCCCCCACAATCCCAACCGCCTGGTCCCTTACCCTGCATGCTAACAGCAGCGATGTGCGGTGACGCTTCACCCCTTGGGGAGTCCCCTCCCTGCGGAGGGCATTTGTGTGAGTTCTGTGTCCCCTGGCAGCCAGAACGGGCAGCCCTCCGCCGCCGTGCCCCGCTGCCACAGAAAGGCCTCTGGAAGCCATAAGGGCACAGCACTGCGACTCGGAGCTGGTGGTGGCATGAGTAGCTGTGGCTCCAGGCTGCGTACCGGCCGTTGTCACTGCTGACTGGTTGGACTGGCATTTGCCAGGCAGACACCAGGCTGCAGCGCTGTAGCAGAGCCTGGTTTAATTTCTGTGCTTCCGAGGAGAGGGCCGAGGCGGGTTCGGCCCCGCTCCCGCGGCCCTGGGTGAGTGCTGCCTTCGCTGCCGTTGTGCTTTCCGTCGGGCTGCCTGGCGTTCGGGTGCACTGACTGCAGCTTGGTGCGTTCCAGGTGAAACCTTTGTTCTGGGAGATGGGCTCCCAGGGCCCTTGGAGCCTCGCCTGGACCCCATGGACTCTGCCTTGAACTCTGTCAATTCATCCAGCCACAGCAGGAGCTCCAGAGACTATCGCCTGCAAGGATACAGGCACCTGCACCAACCCTCTAGCCTCACCCAGGGCAGCACCTCTGCCTTGCGTAGGCTTAGCTCTGGGGGTAAGAGAGTTAAGAAGCCAGCCCTCCCGATTTTAAATTTGGCAATAAAGGGCTTTTCTAACTCCAGTTACACCTTTCTAACTTCATCAAGTACCAGAGACTGGCCTCTGCGCTGTTAAACAGGTAGTCTGTTAGGTTTAACGGTGCCTCTAGAGATGTGGCAGATGGGCGGGTGGAAATACGGAGAGGTGATGCTCCTTTGGCGCGGTGACTAGCTGGACCTGGAGGTCAGCGCAGAGGAAGGATTAGGCAGGAGCTGAACTCGCAAGCTTGGGCAGGGACTTGTCAAAGTGTTGAAGGGCTGCCTGGTCCATGAGGCTGGATCAGGAATGGCTGGGGAGTCGAGAACTGCCTGAGGAGGCTGGGAGTGGGGCCGGGGGGCCGGGCAGCCGTCGGACAGGCTCTGGTCTGTGTAGAGGAGTTGGAGCAGGAGAACTGTTTGTTGCAGTAAACCCGCATGTGTCAAATCTAGGTGTTTGCAAAAAAAAGTTGTCATTTTAGGTGCACGGCATCGATAAAAGCCTCTAAAAAGCTCAGGCTGCTGCTGCCTCGATCCATCTTCCTGCCCCCACATCTGTGTGTGCAGGCAGAGAGCTGGGACCATGGGCTGGGACGATGCTGGCGCGTCGGGAGCGGGACTTTTGTTAGCTCAGGCGGTCCTTCAGCAACAGATTTTCACACGTGCGCTCAGTCCATCAGAAAACACAGCCAAGGAAAATAAAAACGAGTTTTGCGGTGTTAAATTTGCTAAAGGTGACGATCCAGGGAGCAGAAGCGGTGCATGAAGTGGGGATGGGGGATTGTTTTCTGCAAAGGTGGGAACTGTCAGTAGATGGGCAAGGAAGAGTGGGAGCATGGGGGCCAAACCCAGCTGCAGTGGGGAAAGGGGGAGCTGGGGTTTAGAGTGAGGAAGAGGGCTCAGTGTAGAAGGCTGCCCCAAAAAGTATGGCCTAAGGAGAGGCTTCGGTGCTAGACCTGTACTGCAGGAGTCTCCGGGGCACGGTTGGAACGTGCCCTTTGTGTTGTCTCTGCCCTTGCTTTGTGAGAGGAGACCGAGTGGTAGATTGAGGGGGAATGACTGCTGGAGCGATGCTGCGGGGATACCGGGAGTAACGGCTGCTGTCTCGCCTTGCCCCCAGGTTCAGACAGATACCTCGGGTCTCGAGACGTCTCACGGCTGAGCAGCCGCGACCCCTCGTCCTGGACGGTGGAGGAGGTGATGCAGTTCATACGGGAGTCGGATCCACAGCTGGGACCCCACGCTGACCTCTTTCGAAAACATGTGAGTATGGATGTGTGTGTGTGTGTGTGTGTGTGTGTACACATGTGTTGTGTGTGGGAGGGGGCAGATCGTCACATAAGGAAAATCTGGGACAGGCCTCTAGAGTGGCAGCGCTTTGGACCCGCTGGAGTTTTGTGCTAAGAAAAACGTGCTGAGAAATCGTGCTCGTATTGTGTTCAGGCCTGGGATGCTCTGACTCCGAAATGGAGGGATGGCCACCGCAGCCCAGCTAATGGAGTGTGTACAGAGCGCTCAGCTCTCGGCTGGATTTGAACCCTAGCGCTGAAATCACAAGCCCCTGTTCGTCCTGGAGTCTTAATAGTCACCTCATAGCAAATTTCTCCTGGCAAGAAACATCTTCCAAGCGGAATTCCTTGAGTGTGTTGCTGCTAAACCCCTGGTTGCAATAAAAAAGGTCTCCTAAGGCTCTGGTTCTTGTGCGTGTCTTCGAGTGTAAAATCGCTGCAGACATACAGCACGGCGTTTGTACAACTAAAGCTACAAAAATCTTGGCAGCCTCACATCCTCGTTCCTGCCACACAGTTTGTCTTCCTGCTGCCTTTTGATTAAGTCCATGTTATACCTGGTGGTGCTCGTGAAGTTACAAGAGCAGTAGGAGAAAATACCCATCTTCCCCAGCAGGAGAGGCAGATGTGCTGGGCTGAGACAGCACTCTCTTTTTTTTTTTTTTTTAATTAGTTCTATTTTAGAACCACCAGTAATTGAAAAATGTTTTAATTATGCAAGAAAGTGCTCACCTCTGCTAAGGGGTGGAAGTCCCCTGTATTGGCAGTCCTGAGGAAGAACTTGGCTTTCATCTGAAGAAGGGAGTAGCAGAACAAACCTGGTACTGGACAATACTGGAGATCTTACCAAGTGTGAGACATCGACATAGGACAGGATTTTCTGTTGTTTGAGGTTGTGATTTTTATTTTTCATTTATAAATCCATTAACATTTTCTTCATGGAAACCTGTGCTCAGCAAAGTTCTGGGCCAGATCAAAGAAAGGAGTGTTGCAAGGGACGGGAAAACTTCCATTTGCAGGTGCTAAGTGCAAAGCTGCTCTGCGGTTATTTCAGTCTTTGTGATCCCTCCCCTCCTCAGCCTCAGTGAGGGACACATCAGCCTCAGTTGTGAAGTAACAGATACTTTTAAAAGCTGTGATGCTGGAGATGAGATGCTCCACCACTGCTCTACCAGCTGCTGGGACTTTGCTTAGATACTCCAGAAATCTGCTTTGTGTGCAGCGATGCTCTCTGGGTTTACAGGGTTTGGTCCTTGCCTCCTCCTTCAACCTTGACTTCAGGGCTGGGTGTGTCATGGCAGGGCTGCTCCAGGGCCAGTGTGTCCTCTACCAGGAGGTTCCTCCTGCAGTGGGATGATGATGCCCTTGAGTGAGACTGCTCCCCTGTGCTGCCCCTGTCAGGGAAACCCCCCTCTTTCCCTTCCTCCCCACCTACCTTCGGCATTTTCTGAGCAGTGGCAGGTGGTGTTTATCACCCAGCAGATTTCCCTCCACCACGAGGGGTCTGGGCTGGACCCCTGTGCTGCAGCAGGGCAGGGTGAGGCTCTGCAGAGACCTGGCCAGGCTGGACCGATGGGCTGAGCCCAACTGGGGGAGTTTCACTAAGGGCAAACGCCAGGGGCTGCCCTTGGGCCACAACAACCCCCAGCAGGGCTACAGGCCTGGGGAGGAGTGGCTGGAGAGCTGCCGGTCAGAGAGGGACTGGGGGGGTTGAGAATAAGCCAGCAGTGTGCCCAGGGGGCCAAGGAGGGCAACGGCATCCTGGCTTGTGTCAGCACTGGCGTGGCCAGCAGGGACAGGGAAGGGATCTGAGCCCTGGGCTCAGCACTGGGGAGGCCGCCCCTCGCTGAGTGGGTTCAGTTCTGGGCCCCTCACCCCAAAAAGGCCATTGAATGACTCGAGCGTGTCCAAAGAAGGGCAACGGAGCTGGGGCAGGGTCTGGAGCACAGGTCTGCTGGGGAGCGGCTGGGGGAACTGGGGGG